CGATACAGAGTTAGGACTATCAGAAATGATTTGTTTTACATGCGAGATACATTAAATTTGGCAATAGAGCATTGAACTACAATGAGTCCTTGATCACGATGTATGTTTTATTTAGATTTTCCTATGTGACTGTACTAGCTTGAAAAAAGTAAATAAGAGTGACTCTGCGCATGCGCAAAACGGTAATAGATAAAAATGTCCTTATACATATATATGTATATATACATATATATACACATATATACAATATGGTACACAGTAACTTTTACTGGTCCATTCGCCAGCATCGCGAGGACTTGGGAATTTAATTTTTTTTTCATTTATCTCTTCCTCGAATTTTTATTCTTTTCTCCTCTTTTGCGTATGTAACTCAAGTACATTTTCAGAAAAGATTATTACCTTCGATGTCCCGTATTTTCTCTTACCTCTCTCCACGTCTATTTTTATCGTTACTCGTTTCACCATCAAGTACTGTAAATTCGTCGAAAGTCTTTACGAGCCGGAAAATCCTTTTTGGCTCTTACGTCGAGTCGAGTTTTTCTACAAATAACAAACGACGCGACGATTTCGTTGAAAATATTTCGAAGGGACTCGAAGTTTACCATAAACGATAGCAGTCCGTATAATCTCTCGAATTATATCTCTCTACATTCTCCGTATGCCTTATTGTACCATAAAATTATTCGCAAGACGTTATCAAACCCCACGTTCCATATATAAGCAATGCAATTCCCTGTCAAGCATTCAACAGGATAAAAGTACAGTCGATTCATGGAATATCCTAAAGTCACTATAGTCCCAAGTAAGTCATAGAAAACTGAAAGCCATATCGCGTGTGAGTAATATCTCATTTGTATTCCACCTAACGTAAAGAAAAGAACTCGTAGTGATTTTCTATAGCCCAATTTGAATTATACTTTGATAAAAAAGCATAGTAACGACTAACCGGTTATAGCAGTGATCGATCTTCTATTTTAAATAGCTTGAAAGTTTTTTTTTTCTTTGATCATGCGATCGATTTAAAACCGAAAGGCAACGAAATTAACACACAATTACTTAATGCCAATACTAGTACCATTGATACTAGTATTTAGTAACGGTAAATACTAGTACTCGATATATCTTACCCTTTCAATAGTCCAGCTTGCACTCAGTAAGAGAAATAACTCGACACAAACCCTACTGGACTATTTCACAACGTTAAAGTTCCTACCTACCTTCTAGTATGGGGGCCTCCATGCTGTCTGGTTATGTATGGTCATTTCTACTGGAAGTAATCGTTTCTATATGGATACAGAGTAGATACGTGTATAGTTGGCACTGGCACGTCTAGGTATTCGATGATTTTTCATCGTACCGCAGCGTGGTAGAAATTACGATCGGACTGTTTGGGAGTCATGCAAAGTAGCATAATGTGACAGGAAGAGAAATAGAGTAAAATAAAATGAGGAGAGCGTTTGTACCGTGTATATGGTTTATTCGGCGTATCACTTTAGCAGCAAGTATTCTGGGTTCGAATGCGAGCAAATATTGTACTTCAATTTACTTGATTACAATTTATGAAAATGACTTTGACGAAAATTGTTACCGGTTAGTAAGTGGCTTGTATCTACACTGAGGCTGTTATAATCATTAGTGTTAATTATAAATTTATGAGAAGAAATTTCAATGTGACAAATTAGCTAATTGACTTGACTTTGTTAATCTATTTTTATGCCGTCTTTGCAAATTTAAACAGCTGTTTTTGACATATTTATTACTTATTGCTGTGTAGATGTGTATGGAACGTTTTAAAATTTGATTTTTATTGTAATTACGTTCAGATATTCACTTTTTATGAATTTTTCTTCAACTTTCCAGTGAAATTCAGTTTAAATTTTGGTGCCACTTCCCTTTCGTTATCACGTTAAGCTCTTTATATTCTTTGTCTTGTAGATCCTAGCGTGTTCTTTGGATATAGGGGATTTGTTAGAAGGCTAATAAATGAAAGTCGATCGCTACTAGAAATCTGGATTATGAATCGCGCACGAGGTAACGGCGTTCCTTTGGAACTATGGTTATATTGAACGTTCGCCTCAGCCGCAAGGTTCGAGCCTTGAGAAGAACAAGGTCGGAATTTTACTTCCATTAGAGTGCTGTTACAGGTAGGAATATAGAGGTAGGAATATACAGGTGGCTTGTCTGATTTTATTGGCGCTTGTTTGCAAGAAATTGTTAAGTTTCGGAAGCAAATTAATCAATATATTTTTTTGACTTGAATCAAAAGGCATGGACTTCATATAGTAGAGACTGGATTACATTATTGATAATATAGTCTATTTATATTCTCCTATCAGGTTCATCAATTTTAATGGGACCATCTTTTTATATGCAAAACTAGGCTGTGGTATTATGTCATCGTGGATACTGAATATTAAATGTTTGCTGATATAGATCTTTTAGTGCGACATCTTTCAGTGAAAAATATTCGATAACTGTTATCTTCTTTTTTCTTGGTCGTTATTTAACGTGATAATGTTAATTATTTAATTTAATTTATAATTTGGACTACATTTTTTGAACAATCCATGACTTAATTGTTGTTATCAGTAAGTCAAATTTGTATTGGTTAGAACTAAATTTTGTTTTTTATATTTCATGACTTTTTATGCAGCTGTTAGTTGCTCATTGAACGAGCGAATAAATGGTTGGTAGAAATACATACATATATATATATATATATATATATATGTAATATATAATAAAATACACGTTATACTAATCTATTGGAAAGTTTTGTAACGTATGGGCTACCAGGAACTTTCCTTTAATTTTTTCTACCAGACACCTATATATACAAAATTTCGCTGATAAAATTGCATATTATTTTTGTATCTGACTCTGAACAACGTAATAACGAGAATTTTTCATGCTGCCGGATGCAGATAAAATTCGATATGTATACGAGTTTACGTTTAAACCACCTGAAAATCAAATTCCTCTCTCCCCCTTTTATTTTTCTATTTTTGTAAAATATAAAACCAACGGGCACAGAATATTTGTTTACCGAATAAAAAGAAAACGAGCATGGTTCCGCTGTAGGAACTGAAAAAAAAAAGAAAATTCGTATAATTTCACAAACCGATAAAATTTCAACGTATAATGCATCACGTCGCATTCAGCTCGAAAAGTTATTAATAATTAAAAAAACTAACAACAGCCAATAAATAACGAAAGCTGTAACATTTGAAAATAGAGATATCGAAAAAGGTTAAAAAAGAGAATTTTATATTGTTTTCGTAAAATATATTTTTTTATTGATTAACAATTGAAATTCTTATAATATACAATCCAGTAATAAATCTTGAAAGTACAATATATTCATTACTATAAAAATCAATGATAACTTTTCAAAATTGCAATTGTCATTATCACTGCTATCGTTAAAAATAAAATTTGTATTTTTTTCCCACCATAATTCAAACGAATATCATGTTCCCGCCAGAATTCTTATACAGTATCTCATTATCCCCATCACGGATATTGTATTTCGTATCGTAACCAATTAAATTACTTTAAACCCTCAAAAGACATTGAGCCAATTTCCATAGCTAGTAAAATCTTAAGCACGAAGATCACGGGTGGACGACCGTGTGATCAAGTACTGAGAGTGCAACGTATGCAAGGCTCATTCGTACATAACGCATCAGTATTTGATGAACGTAGGACGTAGAAAATAAACCCACGCGCGTTTCGTTACGCTAGAATTTACTTTCACATTACATTTGCTAGTGTTCCTATAGGTACGAGGCTGTGATTTCATAAGAAATTCCTGAGTCCAGTGAGCTTCCCAATTTATTCTCACTTACGTAATTGGTGAATTGGCGACGCCATCGAGGATGCAATCTATCGGCAAGCATTGGAAACATAGCTGAACGGATATATATCGCACTGGAAATATTTCCTAGTAGCTGTATATATCGTATACCTCGTGAAAGGAATACATTAGAGAATTTACGCGACGAGCGTGCCAGTAGGTGAGCTTACTCAGTGCCAGACAAATTACCAAACTTTTTCTCCGGCTTCGAGTCTTCGCGTGCATTACGTGCTAACGAGTGTACCGGGTGTCCTCGTAAGTTCACAATTTATCTCTGGACACGGTTGAAGCGACAATTATGAAAATATTTAAAAAAAAAAAGGTACATTTTACATCGTGCGCCGTCTACACTTGTTTACAGAGATTTATATGGGGCCCGTCGGTAATGCAGGGATCTGCACGTATATGATACATACGAATACGTATGCAAATGATATACGAATTTAGACGCTCGTTACACGGCGTCACTACGGGGTGTCACAATTTTTTGTGTTAATGGATTTATTCCTTGTAGTTAACTTCTTTTTTCTCGTTTAACTTTACAATGGTCAGGTTAATAATTATTATACGTTGAATCAACGAGGATCTATGGTTTCATAATATCATAAACATTTTTAACGCTGACGACTTAAAAGATGATTCAATATACCTTTTGTAATTTTCTTGGGATATCTGATCGAAGCAGATTTTTTAAGAAGGACGCACGCACTTGCGCGATTGTCTTATTTATCGGTTAAACCCAGCTGGTTTTTTTTTCCTTTTAACCGCCACGTGACTAATCGTCTGTTTTCTTATGCCTGTGACTGCTCGATATGGTGTTAACTTTTGTCTTTGAAGGCTAGTACCTACGTACTGGGAACGTTCTCGAATTCTTTAAGCGTTACTCAGGTATTAACAGGGAACGGAAAGAAACGAAAGAAACAAACAGGAAAGAACGGAAAGAAAATAAAGAAACAGGACAGATATAAGAATAGAAACGACCCTGAATTGACTGTGTGAATTTGACCAAGGTCAGAATTCGCATAAATTTTAATATGACGTGTTGTATACATATACTTTTATATTCCACAAGTTTATTAAGTTTCGACCGGTTTCATGATGGCTGCAAGGAAAATGCATAATCGTTTCGTGGAAGCGAGGAAACGTTCTATACTGTGTTATGTTCATGTTACGTTACGGAGGAAAGTGCATAATTGCAGAAAGCCGAATTAACATTTTACCTAGTTGCTCAGTAGATACTGTGCTGTATCCTGGCGGAAAGCGCACAATCGTTGGAAATGTTACATTAATATCCGAGATAGTCGACTTTTCTCATCAGAGTAGGAATTCGTTTTCGCTTCGTAAAATAGTTTTTACATGGGCTAGAAAATGATTACAATACGTTTTTATAGGAGGGTAACTGTTTCGTGGCAATGGAGTTGAGGTATTCGTTATGCTATACGAATAGACGTATTTCTTTGTTTTCTATGAAAACGTAATAGCTAGGTGGTATATAAGAGTTCGATAACGATATTTAAGTGTTTAATTCTGTTACCTTAACCTATTTAGTTTTTATACATGAACCGCCATAAACGCCGCGGTTAACATGGGTCGTAATTATACTATCCTGTTCGAGAAATATCAAGGCCCGTTGATAGACAGTGGGTTATGATAGGTGTTGAAGTAAAAATTGTGACGTTTAGCGTTGGTAAAAATATAATTGTGGAAATATTTGAAATAATTGCATAATTATTATATAACTCATCAATAACGATTTTTATACTATTTAATGAATTTTAATATAAATTTGTATAAGCCCGATTAAGGATGGAGGTCGTATCGGTTTTTTTCGAATGATCAAGATTTTTTTAGTCTTTTTTCGAAAATTCACATTTTCCAGTGACTAGGTTCGTTGAAATACGAGAAGCTGATTTTTCGGGGAACTGACGTCGCCGGAAGTTTGTTATTCAGGAATGTGAATTCTCTGAAAAAGAATTACGAATCGAGAATATTATCAGCCGGGCAATTGATAAGAACCCGAACGTGCGAATGATGTTTATAGTTTGATGTTCTTAGCCTAGATAATATTTTTTATATTTATATTCGTGTATTAATTTTTTTTTGTATTTATTGGATTTATTAATTTTTTTTTAGGAATGATTCCCACGGTTATTCTTCTTGTTCTGTGCTTGGGAAGTGTTCTTGGTCTTCCTGATGGTGCGCCTAACGGGATATGTTCAACCTTGATGCCTCGTCATCCGGGTACGGTTGCGCAAACTTCGACGCCTCCGTATCAGGTTTTGCCAGCTGCTGGACAGGGTAGAGTTCGACTGATCCTGGGTAGCCCCCAGGGGTTGGCTTATGAAGGCTTCATGATCCTTGCCAGGGATCTGGAGACAGGGGAGTATGTTGGGGAGTTTGCGAATCTTCCTGAAAGTGCCCGACATATGGAATGCCTTGATGGGGTAAAGGTGAGTTGATGGGAAAAAAAAGTTCTATCGCACACATTAAAACAAGGAAGAAAATAATAATTAATTCGTATATAATAAACGAACGAATATCAGTAGGTACTTAATAAACCTTAAAAGTAATATAGGTAAAATAATTTTCTTTTATAATTTTCAGAACGGCGTGACTCACATTGATAAGAGAAAGAAGCAGAATCTTGAATTCGATTGGGAAGCCCCTCCATATTACGAAGGAACAATTATATTCAAGTAACAATCAATCGCTAGTCTTATAATAAATTTAATTAAATAATTTGACTACTCAAAGAAAGATTTTATGTCATTATTAAATATTATTTATTATCAGTGGCTAATAAATACTATTTTTCATTTTTTTTTTTTTTGTTATTTTGTTAATTCGGTAATGCTTATTACGGTATCCGGTACTCAAGTACTATTATATATGAGGTTTATTGCATTCTTTTCAGTTCTACCTTCGCTCAGGATTACAGTACCTATTGGGTTGGCGTGGAATCACCTAGAATTACAGTGCTCAAAAGAAGTATTGATATTTTGACTGCACCAACACCGACGACCACACCCAGAACAAGTACACCACCGTATTACAGTCCAACGGTAAAAACGACGGTACGTAAATATTTCATAATAAATAAAACGAGGCTACCAAAAACGCGCAATACATCACACGACGATCTGAGTTACTCTCATGAATCATAGAAAATGTGATATTTGAGTAACGAGTCTGGCGCAATTCGACAAAAACGAAAATTCTTTTCAGCTATATACGTGTCAGCCGTTGCCCTTAATTTGCATTTGCAGGCGTATCACTATATTACATTAAGTTCGTCCAAATAGACAACAGGTTACGTTGGCGATAAAAAAATATTCACAGAATATTTTTTGCTACTTAAGAGTGAATGACAAGAAGTTCTAATTTACCATGAACCCACGTCACTGTGTGAATAAAATGAAAGCTGAAACATGGTCTCTTGTATGAATTGCATATACGGAAAGAGGTAGATGTAATCGTACGAATCATAACACGGAAACAGAATGTGTACTTTATTTCCATAGCGAATGTACTTTCCGTCGTAATAACGTCGACGCCGTAACAAATACCTATACTAGGAGTAACGTGACCAAAGACGAACACGTGGGTCTGTCCGTAGCTGGACATCTCTTGAAAGAAAGTTGTGAGCGTTTGAGTGAAAATGCCACTTAAACCGATTGCAGTTGCAGGATAGCCTAGGAAGGAAAGATCGAGGAGGAGACGACGCGGGATAGGAGTGAGAAAATAGAGAAAGAAATATACAGAGAAAGCGGAAATCGGAAAACGTCGAAACGGAAGTGGCGATGATTCTCTCGCCACGATACGAATCTATCACGCGGAACAGTATGAGTTTTATGGATTTCTTAAGAAAGAAGAAAAAAGTAAAAAAAGTCGTATATAAAGAAATAGCATAACAAAACATTGTTACCGAGTGTAACTCTGGAGCGCGGTTGGTGTACCGTAAAGGATGATCAGCGACGCGTGTCCAAGTCGATGGGAGGTCGTCAAACTTCCTTCTGTGGTAAAACGAAAATCGAGTATCCGTTCCTTGCTTTATTTGAGATTAGATTAATAGTACTGAAAGCACTAGGGTGCAATTAAAATTCGTTACGCCGATGAACGCGTAGGACGTGAGCGATACTATCGTCTGGTTGGGAACATCCGAAAGTGTCACTATTCAGGCTCTTAGTCATAGCTCGGTTCTCGGCGCAATAGAATTCCACGTTTGTCGCGTCTCCCGAGTGTCGGGACAATCGTTGAACTTTTTGCCGTAATGTTTTTCTATGGCTTTCAGGTGAATGTCGCGGAGAATCCACTTTACGATGGTTGCGGAACAACGAAAAACTGTTTTGGTGCACCGGACGGATGCGTGGAGGAGAAGAATTGCGATGCCATTGTCACTGTCTTAGTGCGCGGGGAGCGTTACCTTTTTGAATTGCAAGCGCAGGGAAGCAAGTACGTTGCAGTGGGACTGTCAGATGACCGTAAAATGGTAATTTGTGGTTATGATTTAAGTATGGATTAACCATGGATCTATTTATGAAATACTGTATACCTATCACGGTTTGAGTGAATATTCATCGTGTTAAGCTCTGCTCAAGCATAACGAATATTTATTCTTTAATTTGGATTCTGTATAAGAGATACGTTTATTTACCAACTAGCTTGCCCGTTAGGAGGTACTCGTTAAATACGGATATAAACAGTGGGGGCATCCCTTTTAATTATTTAAATTCGATTGCTGCTACCAGAGTAATTATAACTAATTTCACGCTGGTAATTATTATTTGCTTTTTTGTCATATAACATATAGGGCGAAGACAGTGTTGTCGAGTGTGTCGATACTGCCGGTAAAATTGGATTGCACATGTCCTGGAATAGTGGGAAAACGAACTCCAGACGTTCCACGGTTCGTATTCGTATGATTTACGTCAGGAAGCACTGACTGTCGTCCTGAAGCTCACACGCTTAGGTTTTACATTCCGTGCGAATCTCATCGATACGCCATATACTTTCTAGCCGGAAGATGCCGTTCGATTGGAGTCAAGTTTCACACAGGATGGAATCATAGGATGTAAATTCTGGCGAGATAAGATGACAGTGGTACAAGGTCGCGAATATGATCTAGTGAACACTCCATACAATCTGCTGGTAGCGGCTGGAAGAAGTGCGTCAAGTAAGTGCAATAGGCTTAATGGTTCAAACCAATCAAAGGTGATTTCGGTCGGTCATCAAAACGTACATGGTAAAGAGGCCACATTTGCGTGGCTGTTGTCTTTTATGTTATATGACATCAGCAAAGTGAATGACGCGGTGACGGTCGGGATGCGACTTGAGAGACTTCCGGAAAACCTGAAACTGGTTTCAAGGAAAAAGAAAAACCTCGAAAGAAATCTTTTTTACCTACCTACTCTTTACAGTGCTTTAACTCGTTCGCTTTTTAATACTTCAGCCAATGGAGTGGGTTTCCATGACGTCGCCTATTCTGCTTCCCCTGAAGCAAAACTCTTATCTGACGTCAGTGGTTTTGGAGCCACCAGTGACGTTCTGATCCGAGTTCACGGTGCACTTATGCTTGCCTCCTGGATCGGTACAGCCTCCATAGGAATTCTCTTGGCTCGCTACTACAAGCAGACCTGGGTTAACTCCCAATTATGTGGAAAGGATCAATGGTTCGCTGTAAGTAGACAATCTCCCTTGCGATCAGCTTCGATGGAGGATATAAGGGACTCTAGACATCTAAGGCTAACGAACTCAAGATCAGACAACTCAGGGACTTACTTAGGTGATAATATATATTGGCATTTTCTGTCGCTAACTGGTTAGAGGATCCGTTGTGATATAACAGCTATATGTAAGAGGACAGGCACTACACACTGAACGCTAAAGTGCAAGGAATCTACTTGAACACTTGTAAGCTTGGTTTAAGATTAAAAAAAAATAATTTTCGGTTACTTTCAACAATTTTTGATAATTTTTCGCGTACATATATCTATATACAGTATAGACCAAGCACTATATAAAGACTTTCGTTCGCCTTTTAAGATCTTCACGTTTGACTCCTGGCCGTCCTGTTCGTGAGTGCAAACGTCTTGGAGAAAATTCGAACTTGGTAAAGTACCTAAGGAGTGCTAGGTGCTCTGCCAAGAATACACTATGTCTATACTACACTTACCGGATTATCTACCAACGTAACTATAGTACCTGGATCTATGTGCATACGTATCGCCAGTACTTATTCTTTCTCAAACGATAATAACTCTGCAGCTCCAGCATTTACCTTATACCGAGCTCAAAGAGGGTACTGAGAGTTCACGTAAACACGCTAAAAGTTCTTTCTATGATATAGTACGGCTGACGCTGGAATTTCCTTTTCCTTGTTTTTCTCAAAGTGGCATAGATTCTTCATGATTCTGACCTGGTCGATGACGATAATAGCATTCGTTATTATCTTCGTGGAGATTGGCGAGTGGAGTTCAGCAACTATTCACGCTTCTCTTGGATTGGTCACAACGATACTATGCTTCGTGCAGCCATTCATGGCCGCATTAAGACCCCATCCTGGTACAGCCCGTAGACCACTCTTCAATTGGGCCCATTGGTTCGTGGGTAATGCTGCTCACATTTGCGGAAGTACGGAAATACTTGAATACCCTGATATTTAGTATTAAATTATAGGGTTAAAAAAAATTATTTTTACATTTACAGTAATCGCCATCTTCTTTGCCGTTCGATTGAACAAAGCTAAACTACCAGAGTGGGTTGAGTGGATTCTGGTAGCATATGTGGTCTTCCACGTGTGCACTCATCTATTCCTCACGGTAAGCAAATTATTAGAATATTATTATAGCGAACAACTCAGTAACAGCTGAATATTAATAATGGCGGTTGAAGTACGCGAGTATTGTGCGCGACAGAAGACATAACGATAATGACTTTATCTATATACTAAAATCCAGTCTTACTAATGAGGCGTCGGTTCAATGCTAATGTCACGAGTCCCTTACAGTTCGCTGGGTGCTCGTCGGACAGACAGGCCAATAAGAGGGTGAACTCCTTCCCAATGAAAGACATCCACGCTCGAGGATCTATGTCGCATCCTGATGTCAGGGGAGACGCTCCTGTAAGTATTTAGCAAGTATACGTGATGGCTAGTAAAGTGAAGGTCTTCATTTGGAATAATTTATGGATTGAAAAATATTATTTTCTCTTTCGCAGTATTCGGGAATGAGGAAGCTCGTCTTCGGGGTTTACTTCGTAGTGATAGTTTGCTTCGCAGTGGCCCTGATAGTCATCAACGTTTTTGCTCCTATCGAAAAGACGTGGCAATCGCTGGTCAACGCAACCTCGAATTATTGAATGTAAAATCTATTGTCACGGTGCGAACGACCGCGTCGCACGAATACGCTTTCTTTTTTTATTCTTATTCTAGGAGAGGTAGTTACAACAACAGATTTGATCCTGGAACGACTGCCTTAAAAGTAGTAGATAAACGTATTATACTAAACGATTAGGTATAGTAAGATTTTCTGATCGGCCATCAAATCTTAACTGGACTTCACTTTTTTGACATTTTATTTTGTTAAAAAGCTTGTCCCTTGTCGACCATTTAAAGAGCGAGTCTATTATTTTATTTTGTAGAAAAAAAGTTCAATAGCAAGATCGTTCAATATATTCGGTGAAACGCGGATGATTTCGGCAGCGAAATTGAGGGAGAAACGCACAGATACGGGAATTTTGTAGGGAGAAAAATATGATAGCGCTCCTAGCGCGCTTTGTTATTTTTTGTCCTACAAATTATTTCTGCTTTTCTTTTTTTCTTTGAGCGTCGCATAAAACGGGAAAAGTCGTTCGATGCGAATCTCAAATTAAATGAAAGCTTAGGCTGAGATTGTAGCTTCTAATGGGGACAATCATATTAATATACATTGAAGGTATCCGCAAATTATGCTAGTATATGAGTATAGATGAATCTAAGGGCACAGAAGAATGATTGAGATTTTTTAAGTTTTTTTCATACAGATATTTAAATACAATTTATTTTATATACATATATATTTACAGTGCGTATGTACTTAGACTGGCCGTTAACGAGTGACTGTCAGTATTTTAAGGACAGACGGTGCTTGTAGATTTAACCCACGACGTAACGTTAATTTATAACATACCACAGAGCCCCTACTATATTATCTGCAGTGTTAGTCACATAGTATTTCATCTTTACACCAGACTCCAATAACATACAAAAGACGGTAATATACTCGAAGCGGCACTGCAGGCAGTAGCAGGCAGTACTTAAATACAGACATTCGACTAATCGTCATGTAGCCACTGTTCTTTTTAAGTATTATCGTTGTTAATAAACATTCATACATTTATACGTGTCCTTATTAAGTTTTCCTTGACCCCTAAGACATAATTAAGTACCAGGTAAACGGATACCTCAGATGAGTGCTAAGAGATCAAAGTTGAAAAAGACAATGCAACTAACATGGCTATACAAATTGAGACGTATACGGCGCACCACGTTTAAATTTTGCGCTCATTAACGGTGGTATTAAACGTGGCAGCCGAAACCGGAAAAATGTATATAGAATTGTGTCCAATCGTATCGGCCAGGGAGGAGTATGTTTTCACGGGGTTAGTATTGCGCGTCGAAAAACATGGCGGCCGATCGAAGACGGGGGCGACCGTTGTGACGCAAACAGCGTCTGTCGGTTTTCGGCGGAGGCGCCACCGTCGAGCAACCCTCGCAGTTCGATTGAAGTCGCCGGCCGGCATTGACGAAAGCTCGGCTGCTGCTCTACGTCCTCGTAAGCGTAACGCGAACAGTTAACGTGTTTAATTTGAGAAGCGACATATTATTAATTAAACGTGACTACGAAAGTTGTCGTGAAATCGTTAATCATCGATCAGGTATAGGAGTATAAATTTATTTCCGAACCTGTCACACGTTTAACGAGTTACTCGCGCCTTTTATTGCGCGAGACTTTACTTGGATTACTGGAACTAGTAGAATCTCATTTAATATATAAAGTGCACGGTTCGTATTCAGTACCTTGAATTTGTAGCAAATTGAGAATTGCGTTGCCTTGAAATTTTTGAATTTTGTGACTTGGATCCAGGACTTTTCGTTGAAATTTTACTTGTGATGGCATTATGAAATGGCTCATTGTTTTCGAATTGTCTGTTTTCTCGATACTTTTCGGGCTTACGTGCTTTTCGAGTAACATCTTGTAAATATCTCTAGAGAAAAGAGGTAAAGTTTAAATATGAAAGATTACGAATGATCGAACAAGATTGACACGTTATTAGTGAATAGTTCCTTGACCCTCTTACGTATGTCTAATTCGTAACTAATATAATTATATCGTTAATATAGATGGTATTAAATACGGCTAAACTGCCGAATACGACTCCTTTTTGAAGTTAGCTTTGGATTGTTTAGTTCTTTGTTTTTACATGAAGTTTTTCGAGAAGGAATCGTATTCTGTAGTTTCACCTTAAATGTTTGCTGGAATTAATACACAAAGTAATTACGCTTCCATTCACGGTATTTAATCTCGGGTTACAACGAACAACTTACACTGTATACGTTGGTAATGGATTCTATGCGCTTTTATCGCCCTATGACAGCGATACCGCATCTATCGCTATTAATTGATTGAACTACGAGGATCGAATTTCGTTACTAGATTGTGATTGAAATACGAAAAGCCGGCGTTACTCGTTACGAAATATTCATTTATAACACGTATCCCAGGAGTTTTCACGATTTTTTTAATATCAAAAGTTAGATCTATAAATTTTGTCATTGTCTACAGACAACGTAATTCTCATTCTTCTTGCTCACTCAAAATTATAATATGACAGATACGTTATTTATTTCCATGATATTTATCTTGAATAATTTAAGGTAACGCGCACAGCACGCTTGAAAAATAGCTGCGAAATAATACAGTGTTGGAGCTTTACAGTTAGTGCGCGATTCTAGGTAATTTTTTTTTATCGTCATTTAACTCCGTGAAAATTTCGTCGGTGCGATTAATCGCGTTCGCGAGTGCACCAAACCTAGGCAATATCCTAGCGCGAGTGAGCGACGCAACTGAACGGTTTTCGACGATTCGATTCCCAATTTTATTTTCAATTTAATATGCGAGAGTGAACCTTCGCAATTATCACTCGCGAATTCTGTGGGTGTATGTATGCCACTCGTGATACGATGGCTGGACATTGGTGTTGGTTTTTTATGATTTTTGGACAATTGAGCTTCTGTCTTTATGCCCAAAATCCTATCGAGGAGAAGACGACATTCGAGGCTGCATTTCAAGGCAAGTATTTATATTCGATTAGATTAATCGATCAAAATATAAATAACAATTAAATATCGGCACTATTGTCAATTTAAGAACAGTATTCAATTGTCATTAAAAATACTAATTTCACTTAAATCCCAAGTCAATTCCAGCCCTATGTATCGAACCCTCTTTATATCTCGAGAACAAAAAATCTTTTCTATTATTCTACTATATTCTTCACCAACTAGCAATTTACACGAAAAACCCCTAATCAGAGAGCTATGAGTAGACAAATATGCCCATACATAAAAACAAGAGCTGCTTCCAAAAAGTGACAGCAAGTAAACGGAGTGGGCGCTTGATATGGCAACGACCCAGTACACAGTCCTGTATGTACGTACGCGACACGTGGCAGAACATGAAAATGGAAAGAGCAACTCAAGTTAATTGCTCAAACGATATCTGCTCCGTTAGCCATTAAAACTTTAAATAGCTGCTTATATGTACACTGCTTAATACAATGCAGATAAAAAGTACCTATACGATAACGAGAGATACGTATCCCAATGAATTACGTATTCAACATATCATCCATCCACCATTACGTAAAGTAGACAAAGGATAGTATTTGATTACATTAATTTTAATGGTAAACGTTGGGCCTCGCGCGGTGCCTTATGGGACCTATGAGAAATCCCATTTACTAATGGCCACGAGGCAATTAATATATTACCAGCAGTGCCGTATACCGTTTGTTACTTAGCGCGGGTGTACGCGTTCGTGCAGATGTTTTGATCCTGCACGATGCGAGGAACTTTATCGAATCGGAAGAGAAAATGCACTTTGATCGAGTCAATTAATCTAGGAGGCATTAGTCTGAAAAGGCTTTGAATTCCAGATGCATCTATTCACGTAACTCGGTACACGGGACATTGAATCGTACACTGGTTTCCCAAGTATTAAATCTCATGGAAAATACATTCGATTCTACGCTTGATGCATATATGGTTTTTAATACATGCTTGGCGATACACAAGGGAGCAACAGTGCATTGCCTGTTAAAAGTATCGTGCCAATGTTATGCAGTAGTCATTTGGAAGACATTCTTGCTCCTGACTGTACGTCAAGATTTCGAGTTCTAATTTGACATTTATTATTGACAGTAAATTTAGTCGTTAGTCAGTTAGAAAATAAAAGCGTTGGTTCTAATTTCAGTATTTTGAGTATTCGTTGCACTCTACGGAATTCGTTTCTATGGTAGAAATGAATTTGGAATTTTTTGTTATATTTTTTTATGGAACGGTAGGGAAGACAGGATCATACATGGGACTGAAGTTTGAATCGTTACGCATAAAGTTATGATATGCATAGAGGAAGAAAAACAAATGTATAGAGATACTTTACGTTGTTAGTGAAAATAAATTCTCCCATTGAGATCAGAAGCCATAAGTTATCGTGAGCCAGAAGTAATGCGCTACAGTCACTCACGGTATGTACGTACACAGAATTCCCTTTTGTATTCGTTCTGCGTCCATACCTTATTTTCTACTGCCTAACGTTTTCTCGCGTTCTCCTTGGCGTCCACTTCCAATTTTCCGTACGTAAACAGCGTTGAAAAAAGTCACGTAAACAACTGCCATAACCTGGCGACCGTCGACTGCCTCTGCGGCAACTGGCCAAAGAGCGTGGAAGCCGCGCGAGCTTATGTCAGAAGTAGTATTCGATTTGAGGTTAAGGCACCCTGCGGCATTTCCTATTAGCCGCTGTAATACGCGAGAATTATTAGCGTATTTCACACAAGTCGTTTCCTACCGATGCCCAACGACGGGATATCAGCCGGTTTGCTTTGTGCCGCGTTTATCGGTACGAATGAATAAACGAACAGATCGACAGGAGGAGCGCAGAGAGTGGTACGTGATTTAAAATCATACACGAACTCAAATAGACGCCGGGAATGGTTCTGCGGAATCTTCGTGAAACTTCGGATACCTTCGTGTCTATTCGTTTCTCGTTGATGTGGAACGTCTGTCGTATGCTCCGCGTTATCGAAAAATAGACTCGAAATTCTTTTCTCCACGGCAAATATTTCCTCCGTAGTTTTTCCATCTCTCTCCCAACCTGTCTCTTAACAATTCACTCGTCGATTTATTTTCGTGGATTTGTTATTTCTTTTTTTTTCCATTCCGTAGACGACGGCACGCTCTTTGTGACGTATTTATAAACCTCTTACAGCGACTTACCTAGGCGCTCCGAGAGAAAACTCGTTGACGTCGTCTACCTTTTTTCTATTTATCGTCACCCCCCTCCTTCCCCCAGTGTCTACCTGAGTAAATAAGTATTTCGATAAATATATTGAGAGACAAAATCAGCGATGAAGATCACTCAGAATGTTTGAAGAGATTGATACCCCTTTACCTTTCGTTGCACGTATTGCCATTGCCTTGATTCGATCTACCCTTCTTTTCTTACCCCTCAACGACATTTAACCTTACGTCGATAACTATATAACATACCTGTGATATTTCGAAAATGCGTTCGAGGACGTCTTTGGGACGTTATCAGCGAAATATAAAATGGCAAATGCGAAATACGTGACCCGACCTTGGTTATCTACGTTCTAGGTATACGTATAGATATATGGTAGTCACGTATGGGACGGATAGAGCATATTCGTATCGTCTGGGATCTAAACACCTGGGTACCAATTCCTCAACTATAGTTGTTTTCGGGATATACAGTGATACAACGGTATTTTTCTTTTTTCTTTTTGGTAATTCGATAACTATGATATTCTGCTTGTAAATCTGACGCGCGAAATCGATAATCGGTGTTTGTGGCGTAAATACTGAAATATTACATAAGTTATTTATAATTATTGACAATCGATATTTCGTGCTTGTGGATTAAATAATTATCGATTGTTTGCAAATATGTGCAAGAAATAATCTTAATTCTGTATAAAAGTAATTATTGGTACTGCGAATATATATATGCAATCCATTTTTTTTTTACTACATATTTCCAAGGAGTCGACATCATTATATGTACTTCTTCCGTTGGAAATGGAATTTATTTGGCGTTATAATGAGAATTATTTGGTTTTTATCTGAGGTTTTTATCAGCCATTTCACGATATTGCTTTTTCGAATCTCGCAACGCGAACGTTATATCGATATTGAATACCAATTTCTTCCTTTTTTCTCATATGTTTCCATCTGTGAAATTGAGGCAATTACCTTGCCGCATAATGATCCAACCACGAATCGCCCGAATTTCTTGTATTTTTCCTATATCGCACGGCGGCCCACCACTACGTTGACGCTAATAAAATTCGATAACGCAAATCAAATTGCGGAAGGATGATAGGCGGCACGAGGGGATGGATAAGAACAAAAAGTGTTCGATATCGAGTACACATAAGTCAGGAAGCCACAGGATAAGAAAACGTATCGCCAGAACAATACAGCTATTGTTCTCGAATGGAGAAGAAAATCGAAGAGTCCAAACTCTATGTTAATATCAGTTAGTCGATTTACGTCCGCATACTCAATTCTTATGAATATGTATCCTACGGTTAAGAAGATTAGATTTAGGGTCTGCGGTAAGCCAGCTAGACGAAGTACCCTTAGGATTAATAAGACGGCACCAATTTAGTATGACAGCTGACCAATTCTCGAGGGAAAATGGTCCCTTTGATTGAGTGGGACTGTTTCGCTGTAAGGGTGGCTATTAATCTAGACGTTTTTAACGGTGAGAATTTCGTGCGAGGGGTGCTTTTACTTATGATCATTTTTTTGTGAACTGGCAAAATAATTAAATACCACGAAATTTCTTGGTACTCAAAAACACTGGGTCTAGGGTTTTTAGTCTTAGTAAATATATACAGGTATTCCTCACTGGGGTATTCGTGACACAAGTACGATTTTACAGGCTGGATAAGGGTCGCTGTCGTCACGATGAATATCGTAGAGAGGACATGTTTTCATTATCTTTACTTTGGCCGACCTGATTTCATCTCTCTTGCGAAGAATCTGTCTTTCTTTTCAATGGACCTCGTCGTCGTCTGACGTCACGGTGCTTTTGTACAAATCTCCCTTGAGGTTATTGCGTATTATATTACCTTACTGCATAGCTTCTTTGACATGCGCAAGTTCAAGCAGCAAGGATTCTCAAGACGTCCCATAAGACCCTTTGACCCTTTCGATGATTTTCCTTTGAGAATTTGTGCATCCACATAAATAACTTAACCCTCTATGGGCCGAACTTTTCTTTTGACTCCAACAAAATTGTGGGAACGAAAAATCAGAAATTAATAATCTATATATGCAAATGAAAACAAATTTTTGCGTTTAAACAATTTTATTGCTATATATTCACTATGTGACTTTCAAGTCACACAGGCCTATAAATTTATAATTGCTTTGTAAAATGTCGAAAAATTAAAATTAAATTACGATTTTAAATAAATAATAATAAATTTCATATTGTATACTTAATACGATATACAATCGCGGTGGTCGTTTAAACCATTTTTTAATAAATGTCCAATTTTTACTGTACGTGAATATATCTGAATCTATGTACCATTAGCTTATCGTATATGCATATATATATATATATATATATATATATATATAGTATATGAAGTCCTACGTGTATGACGACTCGCTTGGAAAACCTTTAAAATGGCAATTGAACTCCCTGGTGCATAAAGCTACTATATACTGTATAATAAAATACACCACATTGCCTGGCCAGTATTTTAAAACAGACCCGATCGGTCGCACGTGAAACGCCCATGAAACCAATATTATCCCTGGACTCTGTGTAATATATTCATAATATTGGAAATGCAACCAAACCGGATATGCATTGCTCGTAATGCATTCTCGGCAAGGATAACGTCCGCTCGAGTACTCGCCAAAATTTACCGGCATGGCACCAATGGATAAACGGGGGTTGAGTCATACAATTCTTGGGATAAACCACTAGACGTTAGTATACAGAGGTATTGGCACCGAGTGAAGTTAGCCCCTTTGATACACGTGCGCAATACAATTTTCGGCAATTCACAACCAGCCTAAAAATCGTTACAGTAATAGATACATAGTATTCATGAATAATAGACAAAATGGCGGACGGATCCGATAACTCTATAAAAATAGAAATTATTATATTCCTCTTCTTCCCCAATCTCCCCTTCACACCCCTTTCCTTTTTCCAGACACAATAAACAGACTAGAGCAGCAACTTCTTCATTGAAAATACCATCCGGAAGTGTATTTCCTTTCATCCAGAATGTTCTAGAAGAACTGTCCTCTACGCATACCACGACGTACTGCTGAATTCTTGGCCCCAACCTCTTTCCCTTCTTTTCCCCTAGGAATTCGCACCCGACGATATCCACGGAAGTCTAGAAGCATCTAGAAGGATACGTTCTGCACGTATACGTGATTCTGCATTATTGTCTTTTATGCGTCTACGAACCCTTGACTCATCGCAACAGTAAAGACAGGATGGAAAGACAATATAGGGAGAGACGCCATTTGTCATTTTTACCCCAACGTGACGTGCAGGTTCATTGGCCTTTGCGTTTATCCTACTACTATATCCCACTCGGCTATGGCGCCATGTTCAAACACTTTTAGGGTAGACTGCCTACTACGTTAGTCATCCACTCAACTATTGTGATATATATGTATACAGTTCCATAATACGTTATATAGGTATATTATATTCTCAAATATCTTCCTCCCCATTTGTATTTCTCCTGCTACTACATCCCATCCTTCGGCTATGCACTACAATGTATGTACAGCTAACGCCAGTGCCAGCTTTGTAATGCAGTTTAACGATAACTATGATCCAAGTTTATAATGGAATACTGGAGGCCAACGGATATGGGCTTCCCCTTCTGTACCATTTGGTCATGGCGTTCTATACGGATCAAACATTCTCTACGAAATTTTCAGACAAACTATTTCCCAATAGTTTCTATCGCGTTCCATTTTCTTCGTTCTCTTGACACGCTTCTCTCTTGTAAAGCGACGATGCACTGACTCGCGAAGGTCTTCAATCCTAGAGGAGATACGCGTTGTCTACCTAGAGGTAAGTTTTTAATCGCGTGGGGTCCCGCCGGACCCCACTATCCTTTTTCAGGCTTAAAGACCTCCCTGTGGGTGTAGCTTTCGTTTTGAGCTTCTCAAAACGTCCGCAACGACTTGCATGACAATTTATTCCGGTGTCTCGTCTTTTTGTTAGTCTCCCTTAGAAAATTATACGGATCGGAGAATCTTGTGACGAGGGAAATTCTTTAAAACGCATCTCCATTCTAGATACCCGGACGGCTAACTTCCTTACGGAAGCTATTCGTTATGCAACCACTGCTACATAGTTCTCGTGCATTTCGCAACCGTGAAAACCCGGATAGCAGACCGCGCGAAACTTCCTTGAAATTATCAAGCAGCGCTCTTTGGATTTTCATGAAATATGGATGCCATTTTTCGTAACGTGACATGTCGATTCGATAGTCATTCATTTCGAAAAGTCTCGCTCGATCGCGGTGTTATATGGAAATTATTAAATTATTCGAAATTATTATATTTTTGAATATAATATTTTATTTAAATATATTAATATTTATCAATATCCTACTTGTTCGTGTAGTCTGGTCACGAGTGGAATTTTTTTTTCGAGAGGCCATCCTCTTATGAGTTTCAATGTAAAAGAGTCCCGTACACAATATGCCATTTCTGAATCGTCTGATAGTAAGCTTCATCGTTGCCAGAGGTCTCTTCGTTATGTATTACAATACAAATGAGTCCCCTCAAGCTTTAATTCCTTAACTGTTGCCCGTACTGTGTGCATAATATTCTCTTGTTAGTAACTAGTTAATATACAAACATTTACAATTATTCCTATGTCACCGTATACATTATACAAGAATATAGAGTACACGGGAGTCTTGTAATATTCATTATGAATAATATGCCCTAAGACACGCTCCAGTCATAATTAAAAATCTATTGATTTCATCAGTATTTCCTACTAGTTGCAAACCTAAATAACAGACAGCTATAGATAAGCATCGAGATTCCATATAATATATTTTTTTTACTATTTGTAAGATTTTAATCTGTCGGAAATATTTATTCGTGATAACTGATAACAGTACGACAGCAATCTTGATAGACTCGAATACAATATTTTATCAATCGATCATATTAGCTGTTATAATCAGTTCGATTATCAATTATTAATCATACTATCTGTCTAGGTAATCTAGGTATATCTTGTGACATACAGTCAATCCAGTAATTAAATGTGAGATCTAGGTGACTCTTTTCCATTAAAAGTAATAAGTAGATGACCCCTGTGATACACTTACGCGGAACTCGTGCTACTGTCAAAGTAATAAGTATTAAATAAGAACCTCAGGCAACTACATCCCACGTAATTATAGGAGGTAAAACAGGAACGTACATTTCTGAAGCGACTTTACGTTTAATTTTTCACTCGTTTTATCCTCTTCTACGATCCAGCAAACCAAGAGCCCAATCAATCGTTCGGTTTAACGAGCCAGCCTGAATCGTCGTATCGATCTTAAGGAACCTGGATTAAGACGGCTTCCCCATATCCGGCGTAACGTGGGTTTAAAGGTGGGACGATAATAAGAGGGAAGGAAAAAAAAACAGTCTGGCCAAGCCAGTCGTAATTTATGGAAAGCCCACGAGCCCACGGTGTGTGCGCAAGAGTTAATTGAAATGTTACATAACGTCGTTTCCCCTCTTTGTGCGCGTCGTCGACAGCGTGGCGAATTTGTAGCAGGAAAATTACGAATTAACGCGCTCAATGAACCTAATTAGTGGAAAATCGTTATTGATACGAAGTACCCAGCATCCAACGCATACACACATACTTATATCAAATTGTCAAAGTTACCCTTCCATTGTTTCATTTTCGTGCCTTCTCTTTATTTTTTCTTGAATTTTCACCCCTCACTTTTTTCACGTGCCTCAACCAACAGAAGCGAATCGCAGCTACCACAGTACGATACACGCGACGCGACAGAAGTTCACGCAACTTTTCACTGTGTGGAAAATATGGATACAAGAACTCATAAGGAGCAGCCTTCGGCCTGGACAAACTTATTCAATCGAGACACCCCTTTCGCTTGGATCGCAAATCCAGAACTTACGAAAGTAACAGTGTTGCCAAGTACGATTTGAATTTTTGTCAATTTCATCCTATACGACAGACGCTTCCACTTTGTCGTGTATAAAAAAAAAATAATGTTTGACCGATACGAATTTTTAATTCACGTCCGTCACTTCGTAATGGGAAATAATGACTGGTGGGTAAGCATTTTGTTGTTACGTAATTCAATGCACCGAAGGAAACAAGTGACGTATGATTTATTATGACTATATATGCCAGTCCTTTATTTCTTATAATGGCTTATAACGAACGACTTCGGTCTAATTAATATTAAGCTCACGCGCGCCCAAGACTATTACCCGGTGATATTTCATCTGTGATAATTGAGAAAAATTGCAACGCGCAATCACTCTCCCTACCAATAGTACAAGGGTCCACGGTAATGGCTCTGTGCGCATTCTAACCCTTCGTTATTGTCTCTGGCACATAAGCGAAAGAGACAACGGTACTGGATTTCTGGTAGTTTAATTGATTCCTATGACCCGATGACGACGTTATTATCGCGCCTCGTTATGCCTAATGGCAATGGCAATTATACGCATTTCCACGGTAGAATTGTTTAATTCGCATTCTCGAGTGTGTTTCGTGAAATTGCGCAATACCCAAAATCCACTGCAGCTCTAGCGAAACACGTCGGGCGCGTACGGAGTAACTTTTTTATTCAATTCTCTACGCTGGGTCAGACGAGGACGCGAACGAAAGATCCAATGGGTTTGAATTCGGGGCGCGTATTTCGAGATGACTGATTGGATATGTGAAACATCCGCAATCTAACCGCACAGTGGATCGTCAAGCCGCACCGCCATATTGTTTCTGTTAGAGTGATATTTTTCTCTGGTGGGATACATATTCCCAGCCACAGTTGGTCCAGATACCTGGGACACCCCTGACGCGGCATTCGTTGAGGTACTATGAAAAATTAACGGGCCCCACGAGCTGAATAGGTTGGCAGCACCGTGACTACGAGTTATCCTGGTCACTAAAGAATTGAAACTGGGTATAGGTGGGTTGGAATTCGTGGAAGATTAAATAATCGATAGTGGATACACTGGTAATCAATAAAGAGACGATAAGAGGGTACCTTGTAATGATAGAGTCGAAGGGTGGATGGTTCTACTTAGAAAAACGTAGCGATCGATCCACTCCGGGACGTCGAACTATCCTCCTGGTCTGAAGTACCATTGCGATAATTCGTTTTGCAAAAGCTAGTGCGCTTCCTCCGTGACTTTAGTGAAAAAGGTTGGAAAACCGTTCCCTCTTGGAAGGAGTCGCCGAGCTTCTGCAGTTACTTGGCGAAAATCAATAAATACCTTGGTAGGTGGATAGATGGAAAGGTAGGAGTCTCATATTGTATGTATATGCCAAGCACAGGAGGTTAGGTTGTAATTCTAGCAAATTTAGGTACGAGGGAATCCATTATGGCGATGAGATACGAACTGTATGTTATTTGCTATAAAAAATCATTTTACAGTTACGAGTACGTTTATGCGTACGAGCTACATATTTAATTGGACAATAAAACCGATACATGAATGTAAAATTTTTTTTAACTAAATTTCAATTTTTTTTTCTTATAAACAGTAAATATATCTAAGGTAAGACTGCTATCAGTTGTCTATTTCGTTACTGGATCTTCGTTTATTATATACCCGGCTATTCGGCCCGAGCTGAAAAAAGGTAGCGTCTGAACCTGATTTTACAACGAGACTCAAATGGACGTGTTATCCTCAGGTTGTCCGTTTGAGCTGAATAACTCGGCATAATTGTAAACGTATATGCATTGTGGTTACTGGTATTCGATACGCGACTGTCCAGACGCCCTTCCATGCCGAGTACCTTAATTCTTAACGATTAATCCCAGAAAGAATTATACCTGGTGAGTGTTCAGCAACCGTAGCTTTTACATTATTCAGTGTGTCATGATTTATAAAGGCGAAGTTTACCTTTCATGATTTCGCCCCACTCAATTTCTTTCCTTAACCACCCTTCGAGTACCAGACCCTCCTGCCTCCCGACTACTGAATTAGCCCGGCGAAAGCTTTTTTTAATCGGGTTTCTGCTCTACGAGCGTAATTAAAACGCACAGTTAATAAAGTGTCCAACCACGTCACCAGCTATCTGTATGTCCTCCCACCTGAAGATCGCCTATAGAGACGCGTCTGACATATTTTTTCTTCAACAGCGAAGCGAAAACGTGCACTTCTCGAATAGGGAAACGTGGAAGATCGAAAAATTGAATATGAGTGAGGTGACATTTGACCAGCTACCACCGGGGCAATTGTTTTTTTTCACGTAAGCTGTACGATGCACAGATGTTTCATTGTGAATTCCTAAGTTACCAAACTAACCTGCTTATTTGCACCGACCCAAGAATCACCCACTACGTGAAAACTCGCGTTCGCTCCGCTGTTGAAGAAAATAGTATGTGAGCCGCGAGAGAAAACGGGCCTTTGTGCCTTGTATAAAGTTGAGAACCCCTCGGCTTCGCCTCGGGGACCTCAACTTTATACGCGGCGCAGAAACGCCCGTTTGCGCTCTCGGTGCACAATATACTATTTAATGATATATTTACGTGGGTTTCAAAATACGGCCTCTTAGATTGACTCTTTGGTATACTAACAGCGTACAGAAACGACTAGTACGAAAGTACTGGTTAAACCTATATAGGGTGTCAAATTAAAACAAATTTTTTTATTTCAAACCAATTACGAAAAGCTCAGCTCACTTTCGGTTTTTCGCTGTTTTTCTTCAGCTTAAAAATGTCACGGTAAGAAAATTTCTACTGTCCAACTCGGTCAGAACTTTTCCGTCGTTCGCCAGGACAATTGGTTTTCTTAAAGTGGCAGTCACGTAAAGTCGATTCCGGCATTTCGCTCGAGTTACGAGACGGGATAAAAGAATGCATTGAAATCTCTGTACTTATATGTGTATACACGTAAGGCTATATTTACTATGTATAGGGCTAAGAAAAGATACAGATATCGTGTATCCGTGTATAGGATGGATGGAAGGTCTGACGGTTATACGGCGCGCAATAAAGGCAGGATCGTGAAGGAATTCTGACGTCGGTACGATCGCTTTTCGAAAGGGCTGATCTGAATTTAGGAAGTTATCCGAGACTGTATTCGTCGATGCAAATACTCTGGCGGATCCGTTGAGCTGTTAAGCCTTAATCAACGACTCCTTCGAAGCCCGGATTACCGATGCCCAGAGAAGGACTTAAACATAGTCACGTTATTGCTATTAGCCACGGCCTTAACGTCATTCCAGTTCGAAGATACGGGCCGAACAGCTTCGAGGCAAAAAATCATCCAGTTTCTTTTTTCCTCAATAAATATATAAACAGATCGATACGTATGAGCAACAGATGTCGCGATTTCTAATACAGAAATCTGATGGTGGGATAAGTGAATTTCACTCGATCTTGGACGTTGAACAACCAAATTTTATACGTCGATCGATATCGATTGTCCCTTGTTGTTGCTTCAGATGTCAGCTGTGTTCTACTGACAGTGTATGTTCGCATATGTCAATACCGGCAGCAATAGTTTATTCAGGATGATGATATCCTGGACAGACGTTATTGTACGTCCACATAAATCATAGTTGTCGAATACTTCGTTGGTTCTATGGCAACTATTGGTAACGGTCGATCCAAGTCTACACCAGTGGCTGAATTTCATTACGTAAGATCGTTAACGTATAAACGGACGTTGCAAGTATTAAGGAGCCATCGCCGTCTTCCTGAATAGTTTCCTCGGCCGATTCTGAATCCCGAGGTGGTACTCATCTCTGTAGCAGACGACGTGTCCGAGTAGCAGGTTGCTATAGCAACCTCACCCTCCACAGCAGAAATTCAGGGGTTCTCAACCCCCGTGAAGTATCGGTCACGCAATGTAGTTTAATCCTCGCGGCAAGTATCCCTCGAGACAGTATAGGTCCAACCGTGCCAAATGAATTATTTATATTGTTTTTCAATTATACCCTGCGAATGAAATTTACATGAGCGTTAAAAGGCTGGTGCGACACGTGAAACAGTACGCGTGGTAGAATAATTTCAAAATGATTTTCAAAATATTTGTCTGATCCTCTCAAAGAATTCTTTAGAATCTAATGGCTGAAAAAAAAACGTTTTCAAATTTTTGTTTAACACCATTATCCACGTTCCTTCGGGAAAACTGGTTGTGTCCTCCACTTTCTTTTCGGATCCTATTTGCATTCTATTTATAATAACGCGTTTGTGTCTATATCATTATTATTATTAGATCTCTTTTGAAGAAGCTTTCAAGACCTGCAATTCTGACCAGCGATAAGAAATAACGTTCGAAACGGAGTTAGGTTCGTCGTCGCGTCTTTCCAAGGTGCTCAAGAGTTTCTCAAGGAATCCGTTGGCCACCCGTTAACCTAGATAGAATCGCGAGACACTCCGGCCTGTCTCGCTTAGGGCTGTTTTTTAACTCCCGAAGGAGGACAAGTCCGCGGGTGCTTTAAGAAGGGAAGCTGTGCGAGAAAGAAAATTTATATATAGATATGTATTATATGTATGTATGTGTATATATATATATATATACACGTATATATATATATATATACAATATGTATATGTGTATATATATACATATTGTCTAGTATAGGTTAAAGGACTCGCGGAACTTTATTGCTATATCTTATGTATTATAAGCTGTGTACAGTGCGAGGTAAGCCAGCTGATTAGTACCCAGAACCGGATACTTTGGTAGGACTATAGTACGAGAAGTAAAGATGACCTAACCTAACCTGTGTACTGGCTCTTCCTCGAGCTACCTGACGAGAATTAATTAGACGCATTCATAGTCTCGCCATAGTTCATAGAATACCGTTCTATTCTACACCCTCCTAACCCCCAGTCGGCACGCAGACGGTATCCATAAACGTAAACACATTGTTAAGTAGCAACCGAGACCATATTTGTTCGGCCAACCACTCGCTTCTGTACCTAGCACTATATGTACGGACTTGCTATGGAAACTGTGTAAGCTTTGCATCCTGCGAAATTCGGCCCTGTGCTGAGCTTTACAGTTTACTAGTTCGATATTATGCTTACTGCAATTTGTATGTGCACTTCGTTTGTATGGCAATTCAATTTCAGTATTGAAATACATGCTTAAGTGCATTGTGGTTTGTGAAACTATTTTGAGCTTTTTTGCCTTTATATATGTGTGTGTGTGTGTGTGTGTATATATAGAAGTTCAGAAGTTCAGGGTGAGTTTGGATATATTGATGCTTTAGGTTACATCTGGACGGGCGTTTGTAGCTGCTTCGTTCGTACAGGGAAACGAAGCTTTTTTTCTATTAGTCTGATGTAGGAATGAGTCAGTCACTTTTGAAACGTCTCGATCGATGACGCACCCACCAATCTCGACTACCACTGTATGTGTACTTCAGTATGGCTTCCGATTGGACGTCCAATCTTACGCGATGTCACTGACTGTACTAACATGGGACGTACAAGGATGGTCTTTCTTTGGTTGGATTCGATTTTGTCCTAGGATAGAAGGGTCCTTTCGAAAAATGTTATTGCATCGTTCGAATAACAGTTCACCTTGTAGAAATAACAGGGGAGGGTCTAGGAAGTGGACATAGTCTTTTCTATTTGTTCCATCATTTTTTGTAAGTTGCGAAATTCTTTAGGGTGGACCAGACTGTAGAGTAGTAGGGTAGCCGTATGCGTACTGTCATTCCGATGTATAGTCGGTCCGTGACATCAGTTCCACTTTGAAGGGACCCTGAATGCGGAGCCGATGACGCGGTTTGACTACTATTTTAATTTTCATTAGCAAGTCCAGGACTCATGTGGGATCCTATTGAGCCAGTTCAAAAATAACCTCGATGGGTCCTCAATTCTCATCATGAAATTCCCATTAAGGTATTAACTCCGTGCGTATAAATACAGCTATGGTTTAGCGACGGGTATGAAAATATACGTGCGTACTATCTGCGCCATCTGTATTGCACGCTATAAGTTTTGGATTTACATTTGTTCTATGTATCGTATCGAAAAAGACGACTCCTATGCGAATCCCCACATTGTCGCCCCCGAATGTTACTACAATTCTGTTTGGGTGCCAGGTGCCTCTCGACCGGTGGTTCCCGCTGAGCTCTTCATTGATGATAGAGAGGAGCGGGAGGGGGGAGGGGCACGGAGCGATTTATTTTAAATGACCGGTACAGTGGCTATCCTGCGTAACTCCCGTGTATTCGAAAACAGGTATAGTTGGATCAAGGCTTTGCGGGCGCGACTATATTGAAAATAAAAATACACAATCTGATCGCAAAAGTCATCTTGCCTGTATGGGTCCTTTCGAACGGCTGCATGAGGCGTGGATCCCGGTTAGCCCACGAGACGCAGGGAGCCTTCGGCATTGTAGGAGTTGGCGAAGGCAGATCTTTCTAAAAAAAAAAAATGATCTGCTACGGGCAGCTAGCAGATAATTTTTTCAATATTGTTTTTTTTTTGGGGTTAAATCGGAATAATTATTACTAAAATGTGTCAGAAACTATAGATCTCAGTTGCATGCTTAAAGAACTCAGATTTAATTCACAGGCATCCTTAGCCCGACGTCATCGTCGTTCTTGGACGCTACGGACTCTTTCCGATCTCTCCCGATTGTTGGGACCTGGTGCAGATGGTTCGGCTCCCCTATATTCCTTTCTTATCGGTGGCTCTTATCATTAGTGGGACTTCTTCCCGGTTTTGTTCTTATTTTGAAATATAGATCCTCTATATTGGCTTCGTATTATTTCTACAATCATATAGTTACCGGTATACCATGTCCAACCGGTCACGTGATCAATACTATTTATTTTGCCAATAAACTATCCAGTCTCCGCTGGTAACCAGAAATCAATTATGCCTCCATGGCGTTTACTATAATATCAACCCCTACTAACCCTTGTGTACCGGACCCTATATATTATCCTCATACAACGTCTATACAGTTCTCCCACAATAATGGTACTCTATATATATCCGAAATGACCCAGTTACAATGTATTGGATTACATTAAATCCTAATTCATTGATACAATAGAGTATTGAGTCTTGCATCGATCTAATATTACCCCCAACGATCACTTTTTTCAGGATTCCCTATTCTTCCTCGATTCTACCCAGTTTTTCGAAATTTCAATATTTTTCTCTTACAGGCAGATGCGGTCATGGCTCACCCTGCGAACAGCTGTGCTACGAACTTCACGATGGGATGTACGAGTGCGATTGCAGGGACGGCTATATACTACACAAAAACGGCTACAGCTGCGCCGGTAAGTTTATCTTCATTTTGACCTAACGTCGCTCCGCACTGTATATACATATATATTTACCTCGTAGAGATAGCTGCTCATGCATTAACGTACCAGTGTGCATGCCAAACAAGTAGTACAGGCACTTGACATACAAAACAAGAAACGTTCGAGATCAGTAAACTCGTTACAATACGTTTCGCCAGTTTACATAATCATCGTATGTTTCGTGGAAAAGCAGAAAACGAATTTCATATAATATATATACCCTATTTATCTTACATATCCTACACTATAATACAATATATCGTGGTATATACCAAATCCTTAGCGAGCACCATGAATATATCAATATGCAGATAAACGCTTCTGTCTCTATACCAAGAAATATCCTCCCTCGCTTTCGTATACTACGTAGGCATTTACGAACGCACGTGTGAATAATGCAACGGTATAAAGGTACGTGCACACATGAACGTCTGATACTTCATATTGTTTACAACGCTCGTACGAATACGCGATGGCATAAAGGTATACGTATTAAATTAATGGTCCAGTAGCTCGTGTCGTCGGCTTGGAAACGTACCCTTATTTTTTAACTCCCACCTTAAACTCCTTTACGCATTTCAGATCTTGACCACTGGCAACGTTTTTTGCACGTGGAAAAAAAAGGTATCGAGTAATAAAATTCTAACTGGCCACCCTTTCTTACTGTGGTCTACAGCAGCCCCCTTGACTCTATTATCAGCCGTAGGGGGTTGTAACTCTACGCTGCCATTGTAGAATTACGTGCGTGCACTATAAGTAAAGGGCACGTATTAAGAGCATGTATCACTCTAGACACACTGGATACGTAAAACAGCCGCTTCCGTAAACGTTGAATTATCTTCTAAAGGTCCACCGAGACTACTGGGTCATGAGTTTAGTGTCTGGTTACAAACGGCAGCTGCACTACTTCCACTGGCTTTGCCGTAGCAGCTAACTGTACCTAACTCCTGCACTATAGCGAGAGAGGGTTCCTCGTAGACCTAAGGTAGCGACAATCCTCCCTCATTAGTAGGTGTCGCTGTGCTATTATCTCACCCTTCCTGTACACGCAGTTTACTGTTTTCTACCCTTTGTCACTTTTTTTTTCTCATTTTCTTCCACCGCCCAGACACTCGTTATTGGTTTGACCATTATTTGTTCTCTTTGACCCTATCGTCTCGCGGAACGTATGATGCTTGGCAATTTAACGTTCTGCGACGGCGAGACTCCTTTAGTCGCTGAGGGGCGATAATGCACGTAACTACGAGCCTTTTAGTCTCTCTCAGCGACACGGACTGTTCGTCGACGCTTCGGCACGCACGGTTTCGAGATGATGGCGCGTGCGTCGTAGCTATGTTTTAATGTAGCTGAAACCGAGTCATTCTGGTGGGATAGTGTTGTACGCATTTTACATGCGTACGGATATTGAGTGGTGGGATACATATGGTTGTACGCATATGCTAAGGGACTTTGTGACTTTTACACGCGTAAACGCACGCGTGTTAACGCCTATACGTAAGGCATCTCGATCAGTCACCGAAATGATAAGGGGGGTGGATTTCGTATAAAGGGGTGGCGCCAGCACGTAAACGAGTACGTTTCTCTCGCAGGGCTGTGTATTATGCGTATTTAAAGATTTAGAGTGCTGTTCATGAAATAAAAAGGGCGGTTAGGGATGAAATCAGAACGGTCGATGCTGTGAATATTTTAGGTTTGATACTCTATTTTTCTTTTTTTTTTTTTTTAACGTTTTAAGATTTAACGTGCACAAATATTTTCACATTTCTGTATGGTTCTTATATGCGTATACATATATTTTTTATACGTGATAAAATCGCAAAAGGTTAAATTAACAATGGAGAATAAAAGTGGTAATTTTAGAATTATTTACCATTAACATTCATGTTTCATATATGGCACCACTGAGAATATTACTTAGTATGGGCTCTTGTGCAAAATTTTATATATATATTTTTTCATTTGGACTTATTCAAATTTTCATGTTCACTCCGTAGGACTTAAGGCGCAGCTTCATGTATGCATCGCTGTAAGTGCAGCAGAATACCGTCTAATTCTAATGGCTTTTTCTGATCATGTTCCGCTGCACTATAGTGCATAAACCGATTATCATTTCGTTGCACTTAAAGTGCATATAACGTATGCCGAAGCCCGTGCTCTTAGTACACACGCGGATTCTTTGCGGAGCGCTCAGGCATTCATTAATCGTTTTGGCTACTTTTGTCTCGTTTTCATCGCGTCCGATCGTATTTCTGTGCCATCTTTTGATATCGATTATCGAACCCTTACTTCCACCATTTCAAATACGTCAGCGTCTTTATATCGGCGATATAAATTGTATCGATATTTCGCAAATACGAAAACATTCCACGTAGCACGTTACAGGGCACTGAATTACGTATATCTATATTTCTGCATGACCGTATTCACACGGTATACCTACATTCAGCATAAATATATTTTTCCAAGAATTTCGCTTTTCATCTTTCCTCAGCTTCGTCTTATACGTTTTTCTTTTTTCTATACGTATATGCATATGTATATATATTTCTTTATAATTTTCTACCAAGATTACGCACTGTTACATAACCCCCACGCATTTCGCAAAACACGTGTAAGGATCTTTGAATAAGACTGGTGTGGACGTCACACGTTTCTATATGCCCTCTCGTGTGTCACGAATTATCCATACGTACATTGTATATCTATATAGTATCTATAGGAAGGCACATAAGTACTTGGCTTGGTAGGTAGGTCAGGCTGTATTATATACGGTATATATATATAGGTATACGTTCACGTAGAGATACACGTGGGGCTGGCTCAATGTCCGCGCTTGACATATTACTCACGTGGATGATGACGGATCGTATCCTCTCGTGCAAGGGTCTACGGGATGGGTCCAGGGTCGGTTGTACTGGAACAAAAGAAACAAATGACAAGCAGCCGACTGGGTATGTTTCCAGAGAAACAAAAGAAATCGCACGCGCGACTTGTCGTTTTATAAGAATATATATATATATTGTAACGACGATTTTTCTTTAAATCTGTCATTTATAAATAACTGCACTGTATTCCAGGTATACGATGGGAGCTAGATATAATAAAAATTATATTTCTTCTTCGTGTTCCTTATGGCTTTATGCCCTCATAGAGGGCCAAGTGCCAGAAAAAATATATTTAAAAAACTGTCTTCGAAAAACTAATCCCGGACATTGAAACCTGAAAAAAATCTAAAAACTGGAGGAGCTTCGCGAAAAGATACAACGAAAGAACACATACTAAAATTCGAAATAAGGTACGGAACCATAACCTGGTATGGTTTTATTCAACGAAACACGAAATATTGATGGAATAACAGTTTCTGAACGAAATATAGAAATTTCATATAAAGCGGAATCGAGTTATCCCACGAAGATAAAATTACTAGAACCGTTACGTGAACTGATCACTGGACAAAGTATTGTACAATATTTAGAAGAAGAAACGGGAACGCCATGCTTTTTAAAACGAAATACCAATTAACACAGAAAAGCCTAGATTTATAGGGTCTTGAACGATATACAAAATATACTCTATACAAAATGTACAGGTGCTAACGAACTTGTACCTTGAACTGGAGAAACGATTCTGCGAGAGATGGACTGTAAAGATAATACATAATGAAAATATTAATAAATAATAAGAGGCAGGACAGCTCCTTCAGTTTATCACTGTTTTAGCAATTCTCGGTTCCACAATTGATTCGAATGTCTTAAGGCGACTTGTGACCAAACAACTTCAACTTCTGGTCTAGTTCGCGATAACTTGGTCAAAACCAAAAGCGTCACTCGCCGCCTATCTAATCTACTCCAGATATCCTGAGAAACACAGTTTCCCGGATATTGGGTGTCCCTCGTGTGGTTACGATACGGTATATAAAAAAAAGAGACTCGACAACCGGAAAATACGTTTGCTCTTAGGTTCGGCCACACTGAGTGACGCTGGGATTTTCGATAATCGGTAACTTCCTCTTCGAGAGACGCGCTATGATTCGTCCCCCAATTAAATCGGAATCGTGGCTTTATGGCTTCGCCAAAGCGCTCGTAATCTTCAATTGTTATGACGATCTCGACGAGGTTCGACTGTTCAACAAAAATAATTCCAATAGATCCCATTTGGTCTGTAACGGGCTTTGTGGTAGGTGGATCCAGCCTGAACGCATTTATGCGAGACCCATCCTCGTCGAAAATTCCTGTTCTCGCTGAGGACAAGACGGGTGAAAATTTACCACGTTATAATATATATATATGTATATGCATACGTCTAAATGGAAGAAACTTTAAGAGGGTGAATTAATTGGGAATTAATTAACTGCGCCCAACTGCCTAGGATGCTTCGAAGTCCTTTCCGGGTGCTTGGAAAACTTCTGGGTCGATAGTAAAGAATAGTTTTCGAGGAGCTGTTTTTTGTCTTGCTTGATTATTTTATTTTTTCAAGCCCTTAAGTTTCTTCCAATTTTCGAAATCTACCTGCCAAAGGTACCTAACCTACTTTTGGCTGGCTAGAGGGACGAATCAATGCTCAACAATGCCTCTGGATGTTTTGCTGCCTTTTCACTGGGGTCGCATTAGGAATTTGTTTATTGGCTAAATCTTAGGCGGCGTTGCCTTTTTGCATGTACAAAATACGTTGATTCGCGGGTAGGACCTGAATTTCGGGTTTCCTTTTCTTTTGCATCACCGTATAGCCGGGATAGTATTGCTAACGTGTACCTTTGCTCTTTCCGGGGTGCATTGTTGTTCGTTAACCGCGAATGTATTATCCGGTATTCTCTTCTGTGTTATCATCGCGAAGACACAGAGAGGGGGAGGGGGGAGAACCCGCGAAATTGTAGAGAAATCGTGAAATGCCAGTGATTACTTTCGTCGCGTCTCTGGAAAGCGTCGCGACGCCGTGTAGAGCTACCAAGCAGGATTTCAGCGTTTTAAGCGCGC